TTTTTTTTTTTAATTTATATATACATTTAATTTTTTAAAAACTGATTTTATACAAGGTCTCATTATTTAGCTTGTTGAGTATAAAAGAACATAAGAATGGCCATACTGGGTCAGACCAAAGGTCCATCCAGCCCAGTATCCTGTCTACTGACAGTGAACAATGCCAGGTATCCCAGAGGGAGTGAACCTAACTGGTAATGATCTCTCTCCTGCCATCCATCTCCACCCTCTGACAAACAGAGGCTAAAGACACCATTCCTTACCCTTCCTGCCTAATAGCCATTAATGGACTTAACCACCATGAATTTATCTAGTTCTCTTTTAAACCCTGTTATAGTCCTAGCCTTCACAACCTCCTCGGGCAAGGAATTCCACAGGTTGACTGTGTGCTGTGTGAAGAGGAACTTCCTTTTATTTGTTTTAAACCTGCTCCCATTAATTTCATTTGGTGGCCCCTAGTTCTTATATTATGGGAACAAGTAAATAACTTTCTCCACACCACTCATGATTTTATATACCTCTATCATATCCCCCCTTAGTCTCCTCTTTTCCAAGCTGAAAAGTCCTAGCCTCTTTAATCTCTCCTCATATGGGACCCATTCCAAACCCCTAATCATTTTAGTTGCCCATCTCTGAACCTTTTCTAATGCCAGGATATCTTTTTTGAGATGAGAACACATCTGTATGCAGTATTCAAGATGTGGGCGTACCATTGATTTATATAAGGGCAATAAGATATTCTCCGTCTTATTCTCTATCCCTTTTTGAATGATTCCTAACATTGTTTGCTTTTTTGACTGCCGCTGCACACTGCATGGACGTCTTCAGAGAATTATCCACAATGACTCCAAGATCTTTTTCCTGATTAGTTGTAGCTAAATTAGCCCCCATGTACAGTTGGGGTTATTTTTTCCAATGTGCATTACTTTACATATCCACATTAAATTTCATTTGCCATTTTGTTGCCCAATCACTTAGTTTTCTGAGATCTTTTTGAAGTTCTTCACAGTCTGCTTTGGTCTTAACTATCTTGAGCAGTTTAGTATCGTCGGCAAACTTTGCCACCTCACTTTTTACCCCTTTCTCCAGATCATTTATGAATAAGTTGAATAGGATTGATCCTAGGACTGACCCTTGGGGAACATCACTAGTTACCCCTCTCCAGTCTGAAAATTTACCATTTATTCCTACCCTTTGTTCCCTGTCTTTTAACCAGTTCTCAATCCATGAAAGGATCTTCCTTGTTATCCCATGACAACTTAATTTACGTAAGAGCCTTTGGTGAGGGACCTTGTCAAAGGCTTTCTGGAAATCTAAGTACACTATGTCCACTGGCTCCCCCTTGTCCACATGTTTGTTTGACCCCTTCAAAGAACTCTAATAGATTGGTAAGACATGACTTCCCTTTACAGAAACCATGTTGACTTTTGCCCAACAATTTATGTTCTTCAATGTGTCTGTCAATTTTATTCTTTACTATCGTTTCAACTAATTTGCCTGGTACTGACGTTAGACTTACCGGTTTGTAATTGCCGGGATCACCTCTAGAGCCCTTTTTAAATATTAATGTTACATTAGCTATCTTCCAGTCATTGGGTACAGAAGCTGATTTAAAGGACAGGTTACAAACCATAGTTAATAGTTCGGCGATTTCACATTTGGGTGCTTTCAGAACTCTTGGGTGAATACCATCTGGTCCCGGTGACTTGTTACTGTTAAGTTTATCAATTAATTCCAAAACCTCCTCTAGTGACACTTCAATCTGTGACAATTCCTCAGATTTGTCACCTATAAAGGACGGCTCAGGTTTGGGAATCTCCCTAACATCTTCAGTCGTGAAGACTGAAGCAAAGAATTCATTTAGTTTCTCCGCAGTGACTTTATCGTCTTTAAGTGCTCCTTTTGTATCTCAATCGTCCAGAGGCCCCACTGGTTGTTTAGCAGGCTTCCTGCTTCTGATGTACTTAAACATTTTGTTGTTACCTTTTGAGTTTTTGACTAGCTGTTCTTCAAACTCCTTTTTGGCTTTTCTTATTACATTTTTACACTTAATTTGGCAGTGTTTATGCTCCTTTCTATTTACCTCACTAGGATCTGACTTCCACTTTTTAAAAGATGCCTTTTTGTCTCTCACTGCTTCTTTTACATGGTTGTTAAGCCACGGTGGCTCGTGTTTTTTAATTTAATTTAAAGCTCCAGTGTATGCCTCTTGTTTTGACATTCATGGCCTGTTTTGAATGTGCATCCCCCAATGCATCATTTTACATATAAATCTTCTCTAAATTACATTGCTAGTGTTTCTGACTTCTCTATGCAGAAATGTGTAACTTATGCTAACATAAAATGTTTCTGAACTGTTTCAACAGTGTCTTGTTCAGTGACTGCCAAGGAGCCACTATTTGTTGCTGGGTTCTATATTGCCTTAATCCAGGCACACTTAGTTTCTCAACCAGAGTTTGCAACCTAACAGTAGCTCTGCCTATGTGTTTAGGAAATGCTGAATAGGTATTGTGAGGTTATTTTATGTATTGTAGTTTAATTATTACTTGTATTCCTTACTACACATAATAATACAGAATTTTATCTGTCAAAAAACATTTCCTAAATCTTTTTTTGTTGTCTATAGTGTTACAGACATATTTGCTGATAGGTATGTTGAAATAAATTACCAAAATAATTGAAACTGGCATGATTATATTGTTTTGAAAAATAAAATATGCAGAATTTTAAAATTGTGCACAGAATTTTTAATTTTTGGTGCAGAATTCCCCCAGGATTAAGAGAGGCTAAATGAAGTCTTTGCATCTGTCTTAGTCGCAGAGGATGTGAAGGAGATTCTCACACTGGAGTCATTCTTTTTAGGTGACAAATCTGAGGGACTGTCCTAGATTGAGGTATCAGTAGAGGAGTTTGGAACAAATTGATAAATTAAA